ATTTTACAGATGAGGAAACTGATGCAAACAAGGTTAAGTGACCCGCCCAAGGTTATACAGCTAGCAAATGTCTGAAGTCAAGTTTGAACTCAAGTCTTCCTGACTGAAAACCAGATAATCTACATCCTGCCCTACTTAGCTGCCCTAGGGATTATATTACATGATTTCAAAGTTCCCTTCTCTGATTAGGAAAATATTTACTCTACATCTGTGCAAAGTCCACTGGGATCAGATCTCTTTAATGCTTACTGTGTGACCTTGGACAACTCACTTTTCCTTTTAATGTAAAAGGAAGGGCCTGGCCTTAGATGACCTGTGGGCTCCCTTCCAGACATGTAGTTGTTCAACCTCTCCCTCCAGTGACAGAGATCCTATAGTATGTCTTCCCAAGGCAATCTATCAGCCTTTGGGGCAGCTTTAATCATTGAGCCAAAATATCCTTTCCAATAACTTGTCTACCTACTTCTATTAATTCCTAGTTCTGCTGTCCCTTTCTAACCTCTTTTCCACATAAGGACTTTTCAAATTGAAGGCAGCAGTTGGGCCCAGTCTTTCTCTCCAAGCTAAACATCCCAGTTCCTTAATCTAGCCCCCTCCCCTCACCATGCATGCAGGCATCCTAGTCATCTCCTGCTTGTCAAGGTTCCTTCTTAAAATATGGCCCCTAGAACTGAACACAGTGGAGCCAGTTGTGGCCTAGCGAGGGCAAGGTCCAGATGGGGTACGGCCTCCCTTATTTGGGACACTACCTCTTGGTGCAGTTTAGGACTGAGGCAGTTTTTGTTGGCTACTATGTTGAATTTGTACTCCATGAAAACCCTCATTTTAAAGCTGGGGAAACTGAGGTCCATGCTGGGGGAGCAGCTTGCCTGAGCTTACTAGAATTCAGATCTCCTAACTCCCAATCAGGGCTCCCAACCTCTCTCACTCTCCAAGGCACAGAGAACGTCAGATTGAGAAACTTATGTTGACAGATACAGAGGATGTCAGACAGCACTGTCTGTCCCCAGGTTTTGCTGTACCTATCTCCCATTCTTCCCAAGGCTGGCCCCAATGGCTTCCAGGTCCCTTCAAGGGCTGTCAGTGCATCCCATGAAGGCTCTCGTCCTTGGGTCCCAAAGGGGGAAAACAAAACATACACACACGGCTAAATACAGAGCACCAGGAATTTATTATACCCGCCTTCCCCAAAGCCAAGCAATAGCCAAGGCCTAGCAAGCAGCCCCCCTTGCCTTCTCCACCAGTGGCTCTCAAGGCCTGCCTGGGCTGTGAGACCCAGAACAGAGGTAGGCCAGGGACATCAACCCTCCAGCCCATGTCCCCTATGGCTATCCCATGCCTGGGATCAGAGGGGAGGGGAGGGGAGACCCAAACGGAAGAGTGGGGGCAAGAAAGGCTATTGCTGACCGGGGGCCCCCCAGCCGAGGATCAGCAAGCTCTGGGTCCTGGGGCCCTGGCTGGCAAACAGCTCCCCAAGAGGACCCCTGTAGGACCAGGGCAGAGAGCAAGAGGGGAGGCCAGGGGCCCTGCAGCTTCACCCGCCATGCAAGTGATAACAAGTAAGTCTGCAAAAAAAGGCACCACAGGAACACACAGACGATTTAAAAAACAAACACACACCCCCTAAAAGGAGAGTCTCAGGACCTTTCAGGCCCAGAGTTACAACATGGGGTTTTTAAAAAATTCATTCTGTAGGGGATGGAGGATGGAGCTGCCCTGCTGGGGGTTGGGAATGGGGGGAGGGAGGAGGCGTCAGGGACAAACACACACACACACACAGATACATATAACACACACTATAGAAAAACTATGGTCATAGTATGGGCAATAATGAAAAACACCCCCAGCCCGGCTGGTCACACATTGGCCATCTTCCCTCAGGTCTGGGGGATGGCTCAGTGGCTGGGGGGGGGGAGTGGAAACACCTCTAGCCACACAAATTGATCATTTGAGGAGAGCTAGATCCTAAGGAGAATCTAACTCAAATTTGGTTTCTTTTACCAAGACCAAAACAAACCAACTCCTACACCCTCCCCAATCCCTCCTCAAAAAAAAAAATCTTTTAAAAATATTATAATAATGATAAAACCCTGCCTGCCAGCCTACCTCCCTCTGAGGCAGATGCCACCGATCTGGGAAGGGCTGCTTACTCCTTGAAGTCTTCCCTGCTCAGTGAACAACCCTCAACCCCCAGCCCCAGCCAGACCCCTAGGGTCACAGCACAGTGGGCTTGTAAACATCCACAGGGCTTGGGATACAGGCCTGGGGTAGAGGGGATGTCCAGAGCTTCCTCCAGAAGACCCCAAAGAATCTAAGGGGGGAAGCACCCCAGGCAGACCTCTTTCCAAAGGAAAAGGCCAATAGATTGGAGGAGGCAGGGAAGAGGAATGAGAGACTTTCAGGTCAGGGGTGAAATCCACAAAAAAAAAAAATCAGGACTTTTTAAGTACCTTGTAAAAAAAAGAAAATTAAAACACCCGAAGCAAACCCCAGATCTAAGCAAAATGGGCCAGGCAGAATTCAAGGTAGATTAAAAAAATAATAATAATAACAATGACAATCAACAGATCTGGGGACCGTGCTGCCCTGGGGTAGGCGAGTCCTCTCCCACCTCCCAGGAGAGGGCGGTAAGAGGACAGGGTATCCTGGCCCCAGGGCGGGGAAGAGGGAGGGATGCCATCAGCTCCTCTGCTCTAGGTAGGCAGACAGCAGCTGCTCCGGAGGCAAGAAGCTGGTGTGTTTGTTGCTGACTTTCATTTGCCGTCTGCCCTCGAAGTCGGAACCTTCCCGAAAGGGATACAAAGGCAGAGAAGGAATTAGAAACAGCCTGAGTAGTCACTACGTGGGACTCGTGGCACAGACTGCAGAGATCCCAGGAGTCTGTCCTGGGATCCTGAGGATTCTGAGGATTCCAAGGATTATGGAACATGGAATCTCGATGGGAAGGGGTCCTCAGTCACCATCCAGACCAGGGGTGGGGAACCTGTGGCCTCAAGGCTACATGTGGCCCTCTAAGTCCTCAAGCATGGCCCTTTGACTGAATCCAAACCTCACAGAACAAATCCCCTTAATAAAAGGATCTGTTCTGTAAAACTTGGACTTGGTCAAAAGGCTGCACCCAAGGATCTATAAGGCCACGTGGCCTTGCAGGTTCCCCACCCAATCTAGACCCATTGTCTATCATATCCCTCATACAACTTCTGTCTGAATACGTCCAGTACCAGGGAGCTCACCCCCACTGGGGGCATCATATCCTACTTGACCTGGAAGGGACCACATTCAGCCTAGCCCCATCTCCAGAAGTCAACTCCACTTCCCCCTTGGAAAACATGAGAAAGAAAAATGGCCCATCCCAAGGTTATAAGAATAACACCTTGTTTTTAAGACTCTTTCTTCTTATTCCTAGCAAACTGCCTCCCGTGAATCCTCTCTCTTGTCTCTATGTGCCATACCCAAAACACACTCCCCTTCTCTGGGAACCCTTAGCTTATCAAGGCTCTCCCCTCCACCATGAGGCCTTCCTTGATTCTCTCCCCACCCTCTTCTCTCTCCTCAAATATTCCTAGAATTCTCTGCCAGGTCATGTTGTCTTCTCCCCCTATCCTGTATCCTATTTATCCATGATTATATGTTCTAGCGTAACCTCCTCCTCCCCCTCCCAGTTGACTGCAAGGTCCAGGAGGAAAGAGACTTTTTCCCTTGTGTAGGTCTGGCTCCCAGACCAGTGCCTTACATGGAGCAGGGCCTTACTAAGTATTTGTTGAGTTGAATCCACCTCATGACCTAACTCTTGGTCTCAATTCAACTACCAGCCGGCAAATACTGGATGATAGATCAGGGCTGGGGGGAGAGGGGGGGTCTTAGAACAGGGAATATTAGAGTTGGGAGGAATCTTAGAGATCATCTCATCCAACTGCTTCATTTCACAGACTGCTCAACTGAGGAACAAGCAAAAAGCCTGAATGACTTGTCCAAGGTCACACTGCAACTACATGGCAGAGAACCCAGGTCTCCCAGCTCCTGATCTAGGGCTCTCTCTCCTGTATCACACCGTCTGATCTGAATTATTTAAGGGCAGATCTTCCCCTCCTCCACTCTGACTCAGATCCTCCAGGATAAGCCTAAGAGGAAGACCACCCCCTTGGAGCAGGAGCTAGAATCCAACTCACCCCTCCTTTCCTCTGTCTACCCACCTTGTAGTCATAGAGACAGCTTCCCCATGCCTGGTTGCCATGGCAGCCTACTCCTTGGTTACTCCAGAGAAAAGAGAGCCCAGCAGAACACAGCTGGTCTGTGTGGATGGCCCCCTACCTCCTCCAGGAGGCTAAGTGCCTTCTGCCCCCTAATTTCCCCTCCAGGCCATTAGAGAGAACACTTAAGCCCTTTAATAATCCGAGAGCTTCATTAATAAGCCGTGCCTGAGTGCTCCCCTGTGGCCCCAGAGTCAGGCTTCTCCACCTCCCCTCTCCCCCCCACAGGCTTCAATTATCCAAATCCAGGCCTGGGGGTTGGGGGGAGGTGCCCACCCACTCAGTGGTCTTCCTCCTGCTGCTTCCACAGAATGTCAGAATTAGGAAGAGCCTTAGATACGTGAGCTGATTCTGACTCCCCTGCCACTGACTTGGTGTGGGACAGTGGGAAAATTCTTTTCCCTCTCTGGGGCCTCCATTTCTTGGCCTAGGAGGGGAGGATGGCTTAGATATTTTGCTTCCTTCTGGCCCCAGAGGGGTAAGGCCTGAGGGTCTCTAGCCCCCTATGGGTGTCCCCTAAGTCGATGCAGGATGGATATGGGGCAGAATAAAGTCCACAGAAAGCACTCACTGGCAGAGACCAGGTCCATGTACTGGCAGAGCGCATGAAGCAAGAGTCGCTCAAAGCTAGGAGAAAGAAGAAAGGGTTGGCATTAGGGCCTGGGGATGAGAATGGAGAGAGAACTGGGGTCTCCTGCCCAGGAGTCCTGGATAGAACCAACAATTCACCAAAGTGAATTCTGAAAAGGCAAAACCTCTGTCTGGGCAGAAACTCAACATCCCCACCCCCCAAATCCCTGCCTGGGGAGACCTGAAGTCAACCAGAAAGGTCAACCCATCCATCCCCCTGCTTCCCGAAAGAGAAGTCACTCTGGCCTTGGCCGTAGAAGAGGAAAGAGGAAATCAGGCCAAGGATAGGAGATTGGGGCAGAGAGAAAAAAAAAGGAGCTGGTCTCAGATCCAAACACTTATCCAAGCCTTGGGGAGAGGGCTGGAGGCTCACCTGCTATCCATCATGGCTATGTAGACAGATCGAGGAGTGACAGAGAAAAACCGCAGGAGTTTTCCTTCCAGACCCTCCAGCGTGTCCTGAGAGAGAGGGATGAGGTCACACCAGTCAGGACAGGGATAGTGGGGAACCCCAATCTGGACCTCACCTGGAGCTCCATGGGAGGAGCTAGCCAGCTGGAGCTCCCCACCAGGGAGGGGAGAACCAGAGGATCCATCTCATCCAATGCCTCCCTGTCAAGTGCCCTCCCCACACCCCTCCCACTCTTCTCTTCTAAGCACACCCCAGAATCCAGAACCTCAGGGCTGGAATGTAGCCCGGGGGCCATCTAGGCCAACCCTTACCTGAATGATTCTCTCTCTGAGATGAATGCCTGTTGATTAATCAAAACTGGTCCCATGCTTGCCCTGTCCCCCAGGAACTCACAAGGGCCCTCAGTGTGTTCTACCTACACCTCTTTGTACTCTATGAAGCAGCAGTGCCCAGAGACGTAGCACCAAACATTACAAAGGGCACCAGACTCTGCCACCAACTCATTCCCTACTGCAGCCTCAGTTTCCTCAGCTGCAAGACGGGGAGCCTAGCTCTCACACTGCCGGATATAGCTAGGTCAAGTAGAAGGAATGCTAGATTTGGAGTCAGACCCGGGATCAGGCCCCTCCTTCTACATGGCACAGGGCAAGTCCCTTCTCCTCCTCTTCCTCTTCTCTGGGCCCCAGCATCCCCCTCAGTAAAATGAGGGAGTTGGATTAAAGAATAGCCAAAGATCCCTTCTGGCTTAGAATAGTATATTCTTGTGGCTTTCCCAGCAGTCTGAGAACCAAAGGGCAGAAAACCCTTTACAAATCAGAAGTTATGAAAATGTAAGGGCCCGGTAGGTAACTGGCATCGGGCCACCTCTCTGACCTCTCAGAAAGTCACCTGCCAGCAAACACCAGCCCTGAAGGAAGACAAAGACTAGGGACAAACTAATCTCCCACAAACAGGGCGGTCCAATTGCCAGGCCTTAGATGGCTGACGAGATGCACTAGGCAGCTCTCCAACCCTTCTTGCCAACTGCCCACCCTGTTCCACAAAGCCTGGCTGCCGCCGGTCACAGTGACCCAGCCACGGAAGGCTGGTGGCGCGGGAAGGCCTATTATGGATGCTCTGCATGGTGGGAAAGAAAAGGAAGCCGCCCAGCCCCATCTTCCCACATAATCACCTACTCTTGAGGTCAGGGCCATTTAAAAAAAGAGAAGAAAAAAAAACAAGAGACCTCTGCCTGCCACTCGGAGGGATATGGAGGGAAGAATGTCAGAGGTGGGAGTGGGAGGGGCTTTAGAACATAGAACAAAATAGGAAGCCCCCTCTTTTTTGTTGTTATTCAGCCATACCCGACTCTCCATGACCCCATCTGGGGTTTTCTTGGCAGAGATACTGGACTGGTTTGCCATTTCCTTCTCCAGCTCATTTTACAGATGAGGAGACTGAGGCAAACAGGGTGAAGTGACTTGCCCGGGGTCACACAGCTAGTAAGCATCTGAGGCCACATTTGAACTCAGAAAGATGCACCGTCCAGACTCTAGCCGCTGCTCCTACCTCCTTTTTACCAATCAGGGAAAAATACGGCAGAAAGAGGGACACAGAACAAAAGATCTGATTGGGACTCAACCATTTCATCCTCATTACTGAAGGTAGGCAGAGCATGGAAGGGATTCACATTCCTTCTACTGGAAGTCATAATAACTAATAATAATCACAACAACACTGGCTAGCACTCCAATAGGGCTTTAAGGTTTACAATGCTCTTTACAAATAATATCTTGTTTTCATCTTCTCCAAGCCCTGGAAGGCAGGTGCTCTTATTCTCCCTATTCTAGGTATAAGGAACCTGAGAAAGCCAGAGTTAGGGTCACACAGTTAGTAAATATCTGAGGCTGGACTTGAACTCTGGTCTTTCCTACTCCAGGTCCAGTGCTCTATCCACCATACCACCTAGCTGCTTCAAAGAGCATTTCTTCAACCCTTTCTGCACCAGGTACTGCACAGAACACTGGTCCTCCAAGGTCCTTCCCGGTCCTGATGTCCCGTGTTCAAACGAGCTCAGACATTCTAAGTTCTGGAGGCCCTCTGTCCTCTGACACCATATGTCCTAAGGCCCCTTCCAGTTCGGACAGGAGGCCTTCACGACTTAGCCCAAACTAATCCCTCCTCACCATGGGGATTCTTCCCCGCTTCAGGGTGGTCCGAAGGCGACGGTTAATCCTCTGGAAGCACGCCTGGGGTGTGTAAGATGGATCTTCTGAAAGGCAAAAGAACCCAGTTAAGTCCAACAGTTCTCCCAAAGTCTTGCCCTCTCCCAGGAGCTCCCCCTGCGCCTGTGCCCAGCCCCACAGGGCCCCACAGGGCCCCACAGCACCTTTCCGATTATCCTCAGTCTTAGCAGGGACTTTCCTTTTCTGCTTCTTCGTAGCTTCCTCCTCCAGATACAGGAGTACCCGCTCCTGCTCCTCTCCAGATCGATTCATAAAATCGCTCCAGATCTGCAAAAGAAGAGGGATGGGGGGCGGGGAAGGTGGCAAAAGAAAGTACCTAGATTGAATGCACTCTGTCCTTCCCATGAAACCTCTGCCACCCATGGTAGAGGAGCAAGGAGTCCAGCCCCAAGGGGAGGACAGGATCCCCCAGTCCCCAAAGGACAGAGTTGGCACAGCCTCAGAGAACCGGCACCAGCACAAGATGATGGTCTAGGACATCCCTCACAAGTGGCCAGGTGCGCTTGCTTGAAAACTTCCAGAGCAAGGAATGGGGGGGGGGGGGGGCAGTGTACACTGGAAAGTCAGAGGATTCCAGTTCAAATGTGGGCTCTACCACTTGCCATCAGTGTGGTTAACTCACTTAGCATCTCTGGGCCTCAGTTTCCTCCTCTGAAAAATGGGGGAAGGGGGGCCTCTAAGGTCTCCTCCAGCCCTAAATCTTAGGACTGAAAAGATAGAGCTAGAAGGGTCTTTAAGGGGTCATCTAGTCCAACCCCCTCATTGATTAGGGGAGGAAACTGGGGCCTAGAAAAGCAACATGCCCTGAGGTAGAAGTGGGAATGGCACAGCTTGGGATACTAAGGGGAATCCATTCATTCACATGCTCCTGGGAGATAAGCTCTAATTTTCAGAGGTTTCCTTTATATCAACCCTATCTGCCTTTCTTCAAACCTCCAGACCCCCTTAAATAGAACCCTCTCCCGGTTCCGTCATGTGGGGGCCAGACAGGACAAGTCTCCTCTGTGGCAGCCCTTCAAATATATGACAACAGCTCCCCTTTCCTCCTTAGTGTTCTTATTTTTCAGGTGACCAGTGCCCTCCTCTGGGCAGCCTTTGGCCAACATGAAGGGGTCTGAGCAGGCAAAGGAGAGCGGCACCATCCCCTCCCACGATATCAGTAGGGCCTCCCCCCAAAGCCTTCCACACCCCCTGCTCCTGAGTCTGCCTCCTTGGAAGAAGCCAACTTTCTCCTCTTCGATCAGCTGCTGGGGTCAAGCCGGGACCCCAGAGCCCACAGGAGGAGCTTGAACCTGGCCTCTCGGACTGAATCTGTCTCCTTAGGCCAGTCAGCAATGGGGCACAGAGCTACCATGCCCAGCTGCTTGCTAGCATCTCCTTCTTAGGCAAGGAAGGGAGCCTGGGACAAAGCTGGACTCCCGTGATCTGCCCCGTCTTCGGCAGCTGCTTCCGTGAAAGGCCTGATGGGGCTGGGGGTGGGGACAGACACTAGAAAAACTATGGTTATCAGAGGACGTCATTTCTCAGACCCCTGATGACCCCGGCCAACCCAGGCCGGCAGGAACAATTAAGGAAGGATGACTATTCAGGTGGAAAACTGGCCTGAATGATCCCCTAAGCCTTAGGGACAGTGGGAGGGTGAGTGGTACCCTTTACCTGAAACTGGGAAAGGGGCAGGGGTGCCGCAGTTCAGAGACAGCAGAGAGCCAAGACCTGAAGCCAAGTCTCCCGAACCATAACTGCTTCCACTATTCCCCGACCCCACCAAGCCCCCTGTGCAGGATTTCACATCATCGATTTAGAGCTGGAAAGGACCTTGGAAGCCATCTAGTTCAACCCCCTCATTTTCCAGATGAGGAAACTGAGCCCCAAGGAAAACATGCCAAATGATGCCCAAAAAATATGCCAAAAGGTCATCCAGGTCAGAGGTGGGATTTGAACCCAGCTCTTGGACTCCAGAGCCAACGCTCTTTACGACATCCCAAATACCGCTGCGTCTGTCTCTGGCCATGGAGATGACCTAGAGACAGCGATCCACATTCCCTCTGTTGGGCCTTCTCAGAGATAAATTGACTGTGCCCTTGGCCAGAACTCATTTCTTTAATGGGAATAGATTAGAGCTGTCACCTGCCTCCGACCTCCCACAATCTGGTTGATGGTCCTCCATAAAAAAAAAGATCCCATTTTAGAGCCAGGGCTAATTGAGGCCCAGTGACCAGGAAGGGAGGGGTAAGAAGAGAGGGGACAGAAACAAGGACAAAACCCCAGAGACTTCATCACAATAATTGCTACTCCTCGTTGCTGTGTAATCTGCAAAAGGAAAACATTTTTGAAGGGGTGGGGGGGTGAGGGGGAAGGGAGAGAGAGGGATATTGTAAGAAGGATCTCGCCAGCTGCTTCTCCAGCACCACCTCCAAGTCTTAGCACTGACCAGCAATGCCTCCGGTCTTCACCCACTCAGGTCTGGCTAATAATGGAGATGGTGCCAGCTCCCTAACCAGGCAAGCTGGCCCTAAGCCTCGGCAGATGGTTACCTAGCAAGGAAGTGGGGGGGTGGGATGTCTTCTGTGAACCTCAAGGCTGAGCCACGGCCATTGGTTTGAAGGATTGTGATTTTTTTGAAATGATAACAAATCAGAAGGCTAGCTTCCATCCCAATGCTCATGTTCAACTCACAAAAGACAGTTTGTGTATCTACCTATGCACGTCGGCAGAATGATAACCATAAAAGACTCAGGAAATGCATCCCAGGACTGTTTCCATCTGAATTCAATGGAAAAGATGGGAACAAATGGACTCATAATAACAAGAGGCAATATGGCATTACTGGAGAGAGATCCAACCCTGGAGGACCTGGATTCTAATCCTGCCTTTGACCCAGGCTGGCTGTGAGACCCTGGGCAAGTCACTAACCACTCAGTGCCCTCCAGGCCACTCTGTTAGGCTAATTGCAAAACAGGGGCAGATCTGAACCAACAGAGGGAGTTTCCTTATTGGGAATTCCCTAGACTACTGAAATAATAACTACCATTTAAGCAGCTGACATGCTCACGCTCTCTCTCTCTCTCTCTCTCTCTCTCACACACACACACACACACACACACACACACACACACACACTCTCACTACAAGCCTGGGAGGTAGATGCTATTATTATACCCATTTTTCAGATGAAGAAACTGGGGCAGACAGAGGTTAAATGTCCTGCTCAAGGTCACAGGATGAGAGTCAGCATGATTGGGTAGATAGAGGATCGATGCCTGGTTGCACAGACCCAGGCAGGAAGACTTGGGCCCCCCCTTGGACACCAGCCTGGCTCTGTGACTTCCCATAAGCTCCCCTCAGTGGTCCAGAGGCAACTCTAAGTTGTAGGTAAGGTGCCATCTGTGGAGTTTCCATCCCCAGAGTTCCCCCACACTGATAACACCCCAAGTCTGGGCCATAAATAACAGGAAAAAACAAAAGCTCCCATTTCCCTGGTGCTGTTTGGGTGACAAAGCCCTTCCCTTATGATAGGCACAAAGTATAATTATACCCATTTTACAGAAGAGGAAACTGGGAAGGAAAAGAGAAGGGACTTGCCCAGGGTCACACAGCTAGTAAGCATGAGAGTCAAGACTCCAAGGCCAGCCTCTGGATGAGGCCATAACAGTAACACTAAAATGATAATGATGAGGATAATAATTAAGAAACTTGTTCTATGCTTTCTATCCTCCCCAACTCGGGGCAGGGGTCGGGATGGGGGCCGGAGTCTGCTGCCTAGGGCTGACCCACACTAGTTTTTGTTTTTTTGGTTTTTTTTTTCCCCTGAAAAGGAGAAAATACACACCAGCATTTGATCTCCCAGCTGGAGAATCATCCGGGTAGAGTGGAGAAAGAGCCAGCCTCCAAGCCTGGGTTCAAGCCCTGCCCCTGTGTGACCTTGGGCACAGTCACTTCTCAACAGCTTTCAGTGCAGACCCGCCCTGGTAGAGGGGGCTCCCTATGCCGATGAAATGGGACCAGATCAGGAGGCCTCCCACAGGCCCACCAGGGCATGGCACAAAGGCCAGGAGCCATGTACCCTGGAGACGGTTGCTTCTCTTTTCTGGGTCTCAGTTGTTTTCTCATCCATTTTTTCAAGGACCTTGAACAACATGGGTCTTCTGACCCCTCAGAAGACTTTACTTGTATGACCTTGGGGGAAGTCAATCTCTCCGGGCCTCAGTTTCCTCATCTGTAAAATTTGAGGATTGAACAAGATGACCTCTGAAGTCCCTTCCAGTCTAGGACCCCTTCAGGCTACCATTCCAGGTTCCACACCCTTTCTGACTTTCACTCTAAGGACCCTCCCCATAGTGACACTGAGAATCAGCATTTTTTTAAAGCTCCTCTGTCTCCTCTCAGAATCTCAGAGTTGGGAAGGGAGGGCAGATTGGGGGAGGTGGTAATTAGAAGCAAACATGTTTGAGGTGAGACAGAGTCGAAGGAAAGAATAGAATGGAGGGGGGGAAGCGGGATAGGATGGAGGGAAATATAGTCTTTCACAACATGACTATTATGGAAGTGTTTTGCATGACTACACATGTATAACCTATATTGAATTGCTTGCCTTCTCAGTGAGGGTGGGTGGGAAGGGAGGGAGGGAGAGAATTTAGAACTTAAGGTTTTAAAAACGAATGTTAAAAATTGTTTTTACACGCAACTGGGAAATGAGATATACAGGCAATGGGGTACAGAAATTGATTCTGCCCCGTAGGAAACTAGAAGGGGAAGGGGATAAGCGGGGGGGGGGGGGAAAAGAAGGGGGGGCGGATTAGGGGAAGGGGTATTAGAATGCATGCCATCTTGGGGTGGGGGAAGGGGAGAGATGGGGAGGCAATTTAGAACTCAAAATCTCGTGGAAATGAATGCTGATAACTAAAAATAAATTAATAAATGATAATCTTTTAAAAAGAATCTCAGAGTTGGGAAAAAGTCTAGAGGCAATCTAAGCCAACCCCTACCTGGAAAAGGAGCCCCTCCTGTCTAAGAGTCACCCATCCTTTCCCCAACAGGAACCATTGCCCCATTTCACAGACCACAAACCAGATTATGGGGCAAGAGATCTGATGACAAATAGCTGGCCAGGTAGGGACAACAGGGTATTGCAAAAAGATGTGGAGGAGGGGATGGGTAAGAAGGTGCTGCTGGAGATGGGTAAACAAGCAGGCTAAGGTGGGGGGTGGTAAGGGAAGGGGGGTGCCCGATGGCTGTGAATGAGCCTAGGACCTTGTCAGTGTCATGGACCAGCCCACCCCTGGCAGTCCATCGATGCCTACGTTCATAATTGAAGAAATGCTCAATTTCAGTTAGGGGTTAGTGAAAATAAAGAGATGATTTTTCCCACATCTATGGACCTTCTGAAATTCAGCAAGTTCCATGGGCCCCAGGTTAAGACCCCTGGCCCTAGAGATCCCCAGAGAGACTTAACAGAGACTCTGATACCTAGGGTTTTCTCTGGTCCTCCGGGAGTCTGATTTAGGTGTTTTCCCAGCCTGGAGGAGCAGAGACTGAGCTCAGATTTCTTCTTTCTCAAATTTCCAAGATGGGAAAGTTGAGCTCTAGTATTTGGCATAGGGGGAGGACAGAAGAGCTGTCTGTGGGTTCCATGCCAGTGTTACTGACCTTGACTCCTTGTCAGATTATGCGGGTCTCATCTTTTCCCTAACCCCCCACCCCACCATGCGCTTGGATACCCTTAGAAACAGCTACCAGGAGATACTTCCCCCCGACCCCATCCACCCCCACAGCAAGTCCTATTCCAGGGCTAGACTTGGCCAGACTGGCTGGGCATCCCAAGGGTATAGACACAGCCCTTAGATCCTCTGCTGGCCCAAGACAGGGAGACACTAGGAGACGAGGGCAGGGAAACCCTCCAGGGCAGATGGGAGACCTGGAACTCTTAAACTCAGTGCTAAAAGAGATGTCAAGAGGTGAATGGGCCTAGCCTTCCACAAGTAAAATAACTCTGGCCAGGGAGCCCAGAGACGAGGCTTAACTTCACAGAGCCCGGAGAGAGCCAGTCATTCTTTTTACCAAATCATGGTCCTCAGAACCCACCTGGCTAACAAACTTTAGAGATGTTCTTTCTCCCAGCAACCCTGGGAGGCAGGCAGTTATAAGAATTATTAGCCTCATTTTACAAAGGAGGAAAACTGAGACTCCAAACTAAATGTCCGATCCAAGATGCTCGGCTGTGGGGCAACAGAGCGGCCCCCCTGCATGGGAAATCCTCCAGTGCCGGGGGAAGGGGGTCGGGCAAGGACACCAGGGGCCTCCTACCTCAATGTAGGTCTCATTGCTGCAGGCTTTGGCAAAAATGCTGGGAGTAGCAGGGAGGGCCAGGTCTCCATCATCAGGGGAGCATTCAACCCTCTCCATAAGCGTCATCAAATAGTGGCCTGTCAAAGAAGAGACCTTTGAGATTACAAAAAACAAAAAACAACAACAACAAAAACAACCAGACTACCCGCGCTGGGGATTCTCAGCTACCCACCCTGACCTTTAGGTCAACAAGTCGGTCCCACTTGAACGGCTGAAGATTCAGAGCTCAGAGGGGTCACTGGGGTCACAGTGGGGGCACCAAAGAGATCCTCTGATCCAATCCCCTCCTTGCTCAGAGGAGACTGACGCCCAGAAAAGGTTAGCTTGCTCAAGATCACTTAGAGAACTAAGTCAGAGCCAGGATTTGAACCCAGGTCCTCTTGGCGACAAAGCCAGTGCCTTTTCCCATGATGCCCCACACTTCAGATTAATCTGAGATCAGACTAGATGGGGGAGAAGAGGGAAGAGGGAGGGGGAGAAGCAAGTGGGGAACTCGGCACTTTCCTCATTTCCCTGATCTGGATTCTCTGACAAATTTCCAGAGGCTTTTGAGAAGGAAATCCTACTCCAAGGTCTGGCAGGCCCCAGGGGCCTTTCCCACAGCAACACTGGGAAGAGGGGTGTGCAGTAAGCTGCCCACCACCCCACATGGCCTGTCCAGTCCCAACTCACTGTTCTCCATCTGCTGCAGCCTCTTCCGGCCCTTGGCCCTGGGCGTGAGGTCCGAGTTTCTCACCGCCTGGTTGATGAAATACTGCCTCCGCTTGGCGGGGCTAAGACGCTTGGCCCTCGAGCTCGGGAGGTGGGAGTGGTAGTGTCTGTGGGTGCAGAAATAGCCAAGATGTCTTCTCCTCCTCCTGCCACCCCCCAACCTGGCCTCGATGCAGACATAGGTAGCGGCCCCTGGAGGAGTTGGAGGTGGGGAGACGCTGGGCAAGAGCTACGGGCATGACTGCGGGATGAGCAGGGAGAAGACCCGGCTCAGGGAGAAGTGTGGGACCCAGGAAAAAGCACTAGACTTGGAAGACCTGGGTTCAAATTCTACCTTGGACACTTAGCTGTGGGACCTTGATCAAGGCTGCAAGTTTTTTAAGTTCAGAAAAAAACAAATTTGAAAGAAATAATGCAAATTCCTTGAGGGCAGGTATTGTTTCCTTATTTGTGACTTTGGTTGTGTGCTTAATAAATGCTTCTAATGGACTGAGATGGTCTCTGTGGTTCTTCTTCCAGCTCTTACATTTATGAATCTATGACTCTGGGTCCCTTCGGACACTTGAGATGTTTATCATGTCCTCCCTAAGTCTCTCTCTATTTTATATATATATATATATATATATGTATATATATGTATATATGTGTGTGTGTGTGTATATGTGTAAATATATGTATGTGTATATATATATATATATATATATATATATATACACACATATATATATATTTAGGCAATCGGGTTTAAGTGACATGCCCAGGGTCACACAGCTAGGAAGTGTCTGAGGCTGCATTTGAACTCAGGTCCTCCCGACTCCAGGGCCCATCTTCTATTCACTGTACCACCTGGCTGCCCCCTCCCCAAGTCTCTGGAGCCCATCACCTTGGGGTCCGGGGGTTCCAGCAGAATAAGAGTCTGGATCAGTGGGGAAGGAAGAGGACAGTGTGGCCTGATCACTTTGCTTCTCTGTGACTTTATCTGCTGAACCCCCTGGGGCCACCTCAGAGAGGCCTTAGGAACTAAATCCTGCCACTCAGCCAATTAAATTGTCTTAATTACTCAAAGATATAACCATCCAGGACAGGCTCCCAGAAGACAGCTCAGAGGAAGCCCAGTGGGGGGGAGGGACAAGGCTGGCTGGGGGCCAGGCTAATGGAGGAGATTAGCAGGGGCAAGGGCCCTGTGTCCCGGGGAGGTTGGGAGAAGCAGACCTGCAGTCCTCAGCCCTCAGGAGAAAAAGCAACTGAAATAAATTATTTTAAAGAAATGACATTCTAGGAGACAAGCAAACACCCAGGACTGGTAGAGCAGGAAGCACACAGGGATGGGGACAGGGTAGTATAGAGAGACCCAGGCCAGGTTGCCAGGAAACCTGGGTACAAGGGCCAGGCAATTCTTTCTGTGCCAAGGTTTCCCCATCTACAAAATGAGGGGGTTGGGACCAGATGATCTCCAAGGACGCTCCAGGCCCTGGCATTCTGTGTTCTAAGGGCCCTCGTGGGAAGGACATTCTGGGTTCTGAGAGCTCTCCTGGCTGGCTGTGACAGCCAATCGAACCCAGGTTTGTTTGAAGAAGGCGGTATTCACTCTCTTCTTCTAAGGAGACAGGGAGAGGAATAAGCTGAGGGTCTCCCAGTCTCATAAAACAAAAACGCCTGTTAGTAAGCTGTTAGTTAGAACACGATGCTCTGCTGAGCAAGGTTCTGGGTTCAGCCTCACTCTCCAGCTTCGGCCCCTGCCTCACACCCTGGGCCCATTGCCCTGAGGGTGGTGAGCTGACCCACTCCAGGGGCTAGGGCCCAATATACTACAGTGGGCCTCCCCCGGCCAGCTCTGTTCCTGAGAGCTGGAGGGCCTGGCCAGAAAGAATCACAAGTGGGCCAACTGCCCCTACGCTTGGCCGGTTTGTTTTCTAAGACCCGACAAGCTTGCCAAGCCAAGGCTAAACCTCAACAACGGAGCACAAAGGGAAATGACCAGGAGGCAAGTGGAAAGACTCCTGAAGGACAGGGCTTTTAGCTGCCGTGGGTTACTCTAGGATGGAATCACTTCCCCTTTCTGGGTCTCAGTTTCCTCATCTGACATTCTGTGTTCCCAGTACCCTCCCAGCTCTGACACCCTAAGCTTCCCAGATGCCCCAGGCTCTGATGGGTGGTGCAGTGGAGAGACCACCCCCCCTGTGAAGCTACGATCTTGGACACTGCACCTAATCACTCCTGAGTCCAAGGGACTTGCTAAGACCATAATGCTTTATCATTTATTTATTTATTTATTTTTTGCTTAGGCAGTTGGGGTTAAGTGACTTGCCCAGGGTCACACAGCTAGTAAGTGCTTTATCATTTTTTTTAAAACCTCAGTCATCAACAACCGTGCTCCCACTCCTCAGGCCCTTCATTAAGACAGCTATTAGAGCCCTTGAAGTCCAGAGAATTCCAGCTCCACCACTTACTGGTTGTGTGACCCTGGACAAGTCTCCTGCCCTCTCTGGGGCCTGGTTCCTCATCTCCAAGAGGGGAGTTGCCCAAGTTTCCAGTATTTGCCTTGAAATGATACCATGAGGAAATCACTTTCTAAGCCTCCAGACACTAAATACATTTCCATTTTAATGGCAGCAAGTGGCAGGAAGTTACCAGGAGAAAACACTCCCCTGGCCTGGGGACCCCACCTTCCCTTACAACATCACCCTATTAAGGCCCCATGACATTTCCCTTGCCCCATTCAGCCTCCAGCAGGGACTTACTCTGACACTAGCTGGACCGTGTCCAAGCCACAAATACGCTGAGCTGGAGAGATAAAAAGAGCTGAATCACCCCCAAGAGTCCCTGTGGGATTGGGGAGGGCCCCAAAGAGAGGAAGATGGTTCAGGGCCTCAGATGTAAACAAGCCAAGTTCTCCCCATTCTGGGGCCCCTGCCCCCAGACGGCTAAAGGTCAGGAAGTTTGTGTACCAAACCATCCTCACTTCAAGGACCTTGGGAGGTCAAGGGTCTCGCCCAGACCACAGAGCCAGGAAAAGCTCATGGGAGACAGAGAGGGACCGGGGCTGGGCAGCAGGAGAGGCGGGGTCTGCATGTCCTATCTCCAGCATCTTAAACTTGGAAATCTAACTCTCCAGTGGAAGAGAAAGAACCTAGATCGGGAGATGGACAGACCCAAGTTCAAACCCAGTCCGGATACTACCTGTGTGATCTTCGGCAAATTGTTTAACCTTGGGCCTCATCTCCCTCACCTACAAAATGAGGGGGGCGGGCTGGACTACATAAAGCAGGAGGTAGACAGAAAACTAGACCTGGGATCAGGAAGGCCAAAGTTCAGATCCCGCCCAACATTGTCAGCTCAGAGGTTCCCAACATGTGGTCCAAGAAATAAAAGAAAAAAAAGTTTTGACAACTGAATTTCAGTACAGTTCGTTTCATTTGTAATCTTATGTATTTTTAAAATGCATTTAAAAACACTATTCTAAGGAAGGGCCTGGAATCAGGAAGACCTGAGTTCAAATCCAGCCTCTGATACGTATTAGCTGTGTGACCCTGGGCAAGTCACTTAACCCTGTTTGCCTCAGTTTCCCCATCTGTAAAATAAGCTGGAGAAGAAAATGGCAAACCACTCCAGTATCTTCGTCAAGAAAACCCCAAATGAGGTCATGAGGAGTCAGACATGACTGAAACGACTAAACTTTAACAAACTATATACTAGCCATTGTACTAAGCATTTTTTACAAATATTGTCTCATTTGTCCTCATAACTACCCTGGGAAGTAAGAGCTATCATTACCCCCATTTTTACACATGAGGAAACTGAATCAATGAGAAATTACTATGACTTGGCCAGGGTCATACAGCTAGTATCTGAGGCTGGATTTGAACTCAGGTCTTCCTGACTCTAGGCCCAGCACTTTATCTACTTCACCACCTAGCTCCCTAGAAAGCTGGTCCTGGGTTCAAGTCCCACATCTGACACATACTGGATGTGTGACCCTGGGTAAGTCATTTAACGAAGGCAATTCACAAAGATTATAAATTGCAGAGATGGTGCTAGCCTCTACTGGTAGAGGGAATTTCCTCACATGGGAGTGTCCCATAGGGAGGGAATCACAGGTCTAGCTCTATCTATAATTGGGGGGTCCCAAAAGTCTTGGGAGGTAATTTTAAGCTAATAAAGGTTAACATTTAAGCTCTTAAAGCTCAATATTGCCCTATGACTTTTAGAATGCTGTAGAGATGGGAAAGAGAAACCTAAAAACAGGTCAGTGAATTAGCCAAGGGTTAAACAATCAATAATGAAAGGATGGGGGAAGAGCATGCAAATCCAAGCGTCCCTGCCTGTCCAGTCCAGCATTCTATCTACTACACCTCACTTCCTCATTATCCTCCTCCTCGTACTCATTCCCCACAAACTGTCCCAAATCTTTTCTTTTCCTCTCCCCTGCTTCTAGGAATCCAACCGTCCCCCTTAAAAGACAGCTTAGGGGTCTATGGATAAAACTCAAGCCTTGGAGTCAGAGAGAGCCAACCTCAAATCCTGCCTAGGACACTGTCTAGCTAAGTGATCCAGGGCAAGTCCCTTAATCGTTCTTGGCCTCAGTTTTCTCAACTGGAAAATGGAATAACAGCACCTATCTCCCAAGGTTGGAGGGGTCAAATGAGGGGATATTTGAAAAGCACTTTGCAAACCTTAAAGTGCTATATAAATGTTAGCCACGGTCTTTATTGTCAAATTCCCCAATCTGAGGATCCATGACCTGTCCTCTTTCCCTAAGACTTGAGGCCATCCAAAGGAAGGCCCCTCAAAACTCCCCAGCATCATCACCTCCTCCCTCCACCTTCCCTCTGGTCACAGAAGAGGGATCCCTACTCCTCATTGGGGCTCATCTCTGTCTCCATCTGTCCCTCCTCCCAATTCTGCTCCTTCCCCTTTCTCCAGGACCCTGCTCCTAGGCCATCACCTATCTCTCTCGTGCACCTTCCCTTCTCCCTCTCTTGATGACCCCATTCTGCTGGTTCTCCCCGAGTTCCTTCTCTGTCTTTGTCTGCCTCTCTGCCTCTGTCTGTCTGTCTGTGTCTCCAAGTGTACGCATATGCTCACCAATAGGCTCCCATCACCCTTATACTTAAAAAAAAACAAAGAACTTGCCTTGACTCTTCCAATCTGTCCTGCTCTCATCTCTCTTCCCCCTCTCCACTAAAAATTTTTCTAAAAAGTTGTTGGTAAAATCCAGGCATTTCCTGGTTGAGGGGAAGGACCTCAGAGACCGCATCCTCTGACATCTTACAGATCTTTACCACCAACTTTTCCCTTAACTTACCAAAAACTTTTCTCATTGCCTCAGGGACAAAGAGATAGGAGAGTAGAACCAGAGAGCTGAAAGTCCAACCCCTTCACTTTACCTATGGAGGAAACTGAGGCCCGGCCCAAAGCCACAGAGATAGTGTATGGGGCAGAAATCTGAACTCCCTGTCCAATGCCCTAATGGCTTTGCCTCCAAGTGTCCCCAGCCTTTTCCTACAACTACTCTCTCCAAAGTCACTAGGACCCTCCTAAATCATGAAGTCCAAGAGCCTTTTCTAGGCCCCCAGCCTCTTTACCTCCCTGCTACATCAGCCAGCACTGCCTTCATCTGGCTGCTCTCTGACCACCTGGCTTATTACACATCCCACTCCCTGTTTTTCTCCTTACCCCCTTCTCTGTCTCTTTCTTTAGCTCCCTGCCCAATTCCAGATCTCTTAAGGAAAAACCCAAGACTCTTCCCCTGGCCCTCTTTTATGTATAGCTTGTTTGTATGGCACGTTGTCTCCCCCATTAGCCTATAGCCTCCTTGAAAGCAGGGACTGTTTTTGCCTTTCTTTGCATCCCCGGCATTTAGTAGGTGCTCAATATGGCTGGCACACATAGTAGGTGCTCAATTAGTACTAATGGACAAACTGCTTGACCCTACTCAAAACCCCTTCACTGGCCCCTACAAAGTCAAGGTCAAACTCCTCTGCCTGACATTGAAGGCCCTTCAAAATCTGGAGCTACCCTCCTCCATAAAGACCTTTCCAGCATCATTAAAGTGACTTCCCTCCTGGGCCACCGGCATGTTGGATGGTGCCCCTACCCTGTGCTTTCCCAACTCTGTGCCTGGCTCAGGCTGTTTCCTGGAAGGACTACTTCTTCCTCCAGACTAGAAATCTCATCCATCCTTTGAGCCTAGCTCAAAATATCTTGTATTGCTATCCTAGCCACTAGTGTTCTGCACATTTTCCCCTCCAAGACAGTGGGCTCCCTAAGGGCAGACACTGAGTGTTATTTAAACATTAGGTGAGTGTATTGGAGGGGGATGGGCAACAGAGATGCCCAATTAATATCTCCTGTGCCAAGGATCCGAGCAGAGCTTTAGGGCCCAGGGATAATAATAACAACAATAATAATGAACTCCGAGGTTTATGGAAGGACTTTACTGTTTGATCCTTACAAGATAGGAGCTATTTTATTGCAATTTTACCGATAAAGAAAATGAGGCAAACAAAGGTTAAATGGTTTGCCCAGGGTCACACAGCTAATAAGAATCTGGTCTTCCTGACTCCCATCCAGTGTTCTATCCAATGTGCCACCTATAGAGATGCCTCTAAAAAGCCCCCCCAACCCAGGCTCTGGATAGACTGGGAGAGAAGAAGGGAAGGGAAAGAAGAAGAGGAAGAGCCATCAGATTAGGCCCAAGGGCCTAAAAGGTGAACATAAACTCAGGAAAGCAGAGCTTTCCCCTGGGAAATGGGAGGTGTCTAGGCCCATATATGTATTAACCACCACCATCACAATAACCAAAAAAAAAAGATAGAATGGTTTGTCTGCTCCAAAACGGTCTTCTAGCTCTGAAGATTTCAGGCTGGCTGGTGATCCCAGAAGGAAATCACACCAGAGTCCCAACTGTGAAGACCTCAGCCTCAGCTCCTTTGGAAACCCAGCCTGCTGCCCCCCACTGCAATTCTCCATTTCAGTCCCTCTACTAGTCAATCAACAAACAGTGACATCTGGGTGAGTCAATTAGCTTCTCATTGGAAGAGTCCCAGCCACACCAGGGGAAGCACTCCTAGGCTGGGAGTAAGAATCTGACTCCTATTTATGCTATTTACCATCAAATAAATAGGATGAGGCAAATCAACCCCTGTGAGTTTCCTCACTGGCTAAAATAAAAAAAAAAGGAAGGGGGTGGGGAGGAGGCTATATCACCTGCGCAGTCCTTACAAGCTCTCAAAAAATAATACTAGAAAAGTGACTCCTGTCCAGCAACACACATTGGGTAGGAGAGCTGTGACTCCCAACCCTGGAAATGCACAAGGAAAACTTTTTCCAGGAGGTAAAAACTTGGCACATGCTGGGCCCTAAGAAAAGATACTGCTCCCGGCTGCTGCCAGGAAGCTGGTTAAGTCATTTCAGAAACTCTGTTTACACTTCATTTCCAAAAGCTCCCTGTTCCTTTAGCCAAAGGGCTGAGCCCACAATTCAGAACCATTAGCAAGAGCTGTCCAAGGGCAGAGACCCAGGCAAACAATTATCTTTAGGAACAGAGGTATAAACAGAAAGGTAATTAAAGGAGCTAGTAATTTGCCTCCCCAGCACTGGACAGCAGCCAACGTTGGGTGGAAAGCAGGGGCACTTGTCGGTTGGTTAACTTTAATACAATCCTGGCTGCTTCACACCACAGCCCTGGAAGCCAAAGGAGCTTATCAGGGACCCCAAGGAAGTAAGGTCTGGTGGTGTTTATTTCCTAGAAATCAATCTCTACCAAGACCTCCCCGATGCATTGGGCTCAGTCCCTTGACACGGGACCTTTCAAAGCCAAGTCCAAGTATAAATCAAAACCTCTCCGCCCCCCCAACACACACACACACACACACACACACACACACACACACACACACACACACACACACCCCCTTTGGATTCCAAACTCCTTACAAAGATTGCCTGTCCCACTGTAGTGATGAGCAATCAGGAAACCCTGACTCACCCAAAGTCAAGGCTGCTCACCCAAGATCTCTCACATCCTAAACCCCCACTTTATAGGCACCATTTTAATCTGAGCACCTCAGGGCCAAACCGGTCAACCTTTGATATACCTCCACATTCATCCAAGAGTCCCCGAGGCTCCCTCTCCCTACTCAGCCCCCACTCTCAAGAGGCCAGGCTCACTGCTGACACACTCCACCTTTCCCACAAAAACCTCTGGAGGAAATAGCCCAGAGGCCCAAGACTTTCAATCAAGTTTACAAACTAAAGTCCCAAAAGGGAGCCAGATCCATCAATAAGACCTTGGACAAATCCCTTCCATTCTCTGGGCCTCAAATGTCCTCAACTGTAAAAACCAGGAGGCCAGACTAGACCTGGGGTCTGAGAACTTAAAAAAAAACCAAACACTTTTGATAAG